ATTGGGTCTTGCTCAATTTTTAGCCTTTTCCAAAAAAAAAAAAATATATATATATATCATTTTATGAAAAGATAAACACAATAAATCTTAAAAATTTGCATAAAATGATCAAATACATTGTATAATTTATAAATTCTGAACATTTGATATGAAAACATTCAATAAAATAGTCATTAGCTTCAGAAACATTAAAATAATCTCTCAGTTCGAATTTCCTCTTATGTATTGAAACTAAATGCATTTTACATGTATGCCATGTAATATTTAGGCCAGCATTTTTTAAATTTTTAGGTTTACAAACCCGCCGCTCAAGTTTTTGAATTATCAGGAAAAAAAATGAGGAAAACAAGATTTTTTTCTTTCCGATGTCAAATTTGAGTAGGGATCGAAATTTCAAATTTAAGAACTCGTACTTCCGGTTTGTTTTTTTATTTGCTTTTTTTTTTTTTTTTTTTTTTTTTTTTTTTTTTTTTTTTTTTTTTTTTTTTGTTTTTTTTTTTTTTTTGTTGTTGTTGTTTTTCTTTTTTTTTGGGGGGGGGGGGGGTGTTTTTTGTTTTTACAATAGTCAATTAGTCATCTCATATTTTGAATTCCAGTAAAATTGTAGATTCTGAAAATTCTTTTTTCCTCCAGGGATAATTATAGATATACTCATACTAAAACAACCTTAATGTTTGCATACACATGTGACTTAATTTTAATACTACCAATTAATGTACTTAATCAAAGAATTGCTCTTCATTATACATGTACATTGTTTGTTGTATTCTGGTGTCTTGTTTATCTGTAATTACATGTAAAAAAAATTCCTGGGCCCTGAATTGGAAATAAATTGTTCTCTAATTCTATAATGAAATTATCAAATAGTTTATTTATTTATTTTGTATATTTAAAAAATTAAAATGCTTCATGTCCATGCTTCATTGATGACTATTACTTTATTTTTCAACTGAAAACCCTATATGAGGCCCCAATTTGAGAATCTGACGAGGAGTCACTTCCCCTTTATTTTAAAATATAGACCAAAATGTACTATAATTTATGTTTTTATCAAAAAAATCTATAATTCTTTCATTCTATAATAATTATAGATTAATTTTTTGTCTTCAAATATGTCATAAATCAGAGAATATTTATCAGAAATATGAAAAAATATTATTTGTTTCACTTATTTAGTAATATCAAAAACAAATAAAGTTTTCATTTTTTTTAATGACATCTTTTAAAGCCAAGTTCAAACACACTAAACTTATCAAAATATTAAGTGTATATGGTATCTCTCTTTATTTTCATTATACGTTTAATGCCTGGTGGGGTAACTGTGTACCTTGTTTTACAAACATGTATGTTTTGAATGTTCCAAGTACGTATACGGTATAGCGTAGCCTGCGTACATGTTACAGTTAGTGTTCATGTTTCAACGTAATCGCAGGTGTGTATTTGTAATGTGAATTGAGTATAAACTTACAACTGAAATAATTGTGATCAGGATGTTCAGACTTCTTAGCCCATCTTGCTGTTAGAATACTGGACACCTGTTGGTATTTACTTGCTAATTTAGCTGTTTTAAACCCGTGTTTACGGTATCGTGTCATTGTTTGTAAACATTTCTTTTCCTGTCGTCTGTCAAACTACATACGCCGTAAATCAGTGCTATATACGAAACGCTAAATAAATAAATAATTTTGTTGCTAAGATACATAACCGTGGTCAATATTAACAAATTGGCTAATTTTAAACAATATCGGATAATTTAAAAAAGAAATTGACAAACAACATTTTAACAACATCATAGATCGAATAGCGGCGTTTCGCGTTGCGCAGTTGACGTATTTTCGTCACGTTCGAATCGCCTTAATGGTTAAGAGTAGCTGTAGCATTCTAAAGCCAACAAATCCTCTGCCGAATGAATCTCTCAAATTTTCGATTTTCGATAGAATTTACAGAATCTAGCTGGTTTGGTACACGTGAATGTTTGTAAGAAAGTCTCCCCCAAACGCTGGTTACATTTTTCCAGTGTGAACATGTTAAAAACATTACGCATACGACGCGTACTTGCGCGTGGGAGAGTAAAATCTCGACGTAAAGTTGTCAAGCTTGCGGAACAAATTAGAGCAAAGTTTCTGTCCGTATTCGGATTAAAATTATGAGTATGGTTGTCGTGCTGTATAAATATCTGTTTTAATGATAATGCCTTGACGATAACCGAAGTGGCATGATGAAAAGCCTTATCGTGATGTGACGTTGTTACGCGCAAACGTCACCGTCATGGTTGGTTGGAAACCTTTTAAGTTACTCTCTGACAACCGAAAAAAACTTTTTTGGTTGAAAAAGTAAAAACAAACTGTACATAAACATGTTATTGCCTTTTTTATTCACTTGTGCAGTTCAATTACTAGACCCCATGCAACTTACGTCAGCCATACCATGATTACAAGAAAGTTATACTGACTGCAAATATGCAAAAACGATGTCTATAACAGTTACTCTAATGCATCATTTTGCACTACAAATTGTGATCATCAATTTGCACGTGTTTTCGACTTTTTATCACTTTCCCCACTTGACGCCATATATTTCCTGGTTGAATAATTTTGACCAGTGATTTTAGTGCAGAATTGCCAAAATACTGATCTGACCAACTTTCATAATTTTCGGCAACCTAGTCAAAATATTTTCGTATATTATGTTTTTATGCGTTTCTTCTTCCTTTCAGTATATGTTAAAAATGTCTGACTTCCTAACTTTTGATATCATCAATCTTAAAGTTTAAATAAGTAATTATAACGTCATGATACTATTTCATTCTTATATTTTATACAATAAAAGTTGCTGAATTGATTGATTATATATTGTTAAACGTTCCATTCGAGAATTTTTCACTCATGCAGAGACGTCACCGAATGCCGGTGAAGGGCTTCAATTTTAGACCTATACTTGGCACTCAGGGCCATTTAGCGCTTTCAAATGCATTTTTTTTTTTGTTAAATACATATTTGTGATTTGACAAAAATATATCAATAAATAAAATCCAAACATTTATCAAGGGTCAGAAGTCCTTCGAAACACAACACATTCAAAATAGAGCAATCACAGACCTCTTGAATTCAAGAGGTGGTGCCATGGAGTTGTATGCATCCCTTAGTATCGATTAAAAACGTGCTCTATTCATGATCGAGAAACTGGAAAATTCATCAACAATACAGTATGTAAATAATGGTCTTAAAATTTGTCTGAAATGAACATGTGATGAACGTCAGTTTAGAAATAATTTTGGATACAGTTTTTCAAACATTTCAATAGATAAAGTATTGAAAAGCTTTACTCCGAAGGTATTTCCTTTGCATCAATCAGAAACAAACTTAAAATGGCATTGGATATTTTGTTTTTGCATTCTTAATTCTTAATTGAAACCTTTTAACACAACACAATAATTGCGACTTAAATCAATTTTATTTTTATCCCAATCTTAATACACACGTGTAGTATTAATGTTTAGGGGAAATTACCTTAAAAATTTGAAATGTTTTATTTTTTTAGCATGTCCATCGGGATATTATGGACTGGAATGTAGAGGTATTTGTACAAACAACTGCCAAGAAAACAGAACTTGTAATCATGTGACTGGGTACTGTGACAACGGCTGTTCTGATGGATGGACTGGGGAACATTGTGACATAAGTATTAATTTCTTTTTCTAATTTGCTTCTTTGTCGCGATTTAGAGAATTAAACATAACCTTATCCTTATACATTTAAGGAATGAAGCTGATTTCAACTTATGTTATCCGATATAACATAACTTGGGGCAGTTTACCCTTTATAAACCGCGAAGCGGTTTATAAGAAAGCGTAAACTGCCCCAAATTTTGTTATATCGGATAACATAAGTTGAAATTAGCTTCATTCCTTATAATTTAATTTCTGTATAGATAATGAGACAATATTTCCCCCGTAAAAGGGCTTCAAATTGAGCATTATTTTAAAAGTAACGTCAAGCGGAGTAATACGTTTTTGACGTAACTCATTGTGACGTAGGCAAGTTATGTTATACAAAATGTTATATGTTCCTCTGAATGATTCAGCCAATGAAATTGCTTGATACAAGACGAAATACTAATACCAATCAGAGGGGTCGATGACCCAAGAGCTGGTATTAGAGAAGGGCTGATAAGACAGTAATACAAATGTATTAGTAAAAAGAATATATTTTATCAATTTCTCTATTATTCCCATCTTCGGACAGGCTCATATTTGATCACATGTTCAAATATCACGTGTGCTTCTAATCAAATAAAATCTGTAAAAAGCATATTTATTTGATTTGATTTTTTTTCTCTGGCAAAACAATATCAGCCATGCATGATTGGTGTATGTCCTTGAGGCTGATATAGCTGTGGCGTCACAGCATTTGCGAATCATTCAAAATCCTTATCATTTGACTTGATAATTACATATTCAGTAAGACTTGGATGAATATTAACCTCCGCTCAAAAGACTGATAAATGTTATATATGCCTTCGTTAAATACAATGCTGTATAGTATGAGCAAAAATTCTAATGGTAAAAAATTATAGAAAACAAGAATACGGAGAACTGTCTTTTTAATAACTATGTTTTATGTATTCTTATGCTTATATGCAAGCTCACCGCAGCTTGTTTTTGCTAATTTTGTATAAGTCAAATAAAACACTTTCATAGAGATGAATAATGTCATTTATTAAAATGACGGTATAAATGTGAACAATTTAACAAAACAAGAAGGGGATCAGATTCACAAGCTTTGATTAGCAGTTACGTAAAATATAATAATGTCTGATCCCCCAAAACTGACTAGAAAAAAGTATCTGTAAGACAAGACAATGAAAACTTCATATGAAAAAGTTAGAAAAAAAGATGGCAAATCAACACAAAATAGGCCACAAGATGTGACATGCAAGTCACATCCATGTTAGATGTGACATGCAGATCACATCCGTGCCAATAACTATGTTTTCCTTAGCATGTAGCATGGGAACATACGGATCAGGATGTTCTAAGAACTGTAGCGGTAACTGTAAGAATGATACCACTTGTGACAGAGTGACAGGATTCTGTGATAGCGGGTGTTCTCCTGGATTTACCGGGAAAAGATGCGATCAAGGTATATCATAGTTTTTCTATATTTCAGCAATTCGAAAGTTCAAAAATCTACATATAGATTTATGCTCTGTGAATAAACATTTCATATCTATAAAGAAAACAATAACTCTTGCAAGCGATAATGAAAGTTTTTCGAATTTGTTTTAGTTTGTACACCAGGGACATATGGGCCAGGATGTCAAAGGAATTGTAGTGGCAACTGTATAAATGGGACTTTCTGCAATGCTACTACGGGAGTATGTGATTCAGGATGTAGTTCTGGATATATTGGGAAAAGATGTGATCAAGGTTTTTGATACTGCCTCTTACTGTGAACATAAAAATTATTTTTTTATATATATAAGTCTTTAACTACATGTAATAATCTACTGTAGCATTCAAAATATAGTAAAGTATGTAAACAACCCAAATTTGTTATAAAACTTTTAAAAATTGTCATGAAACTAAAATCATTTGCACGGAAGACGATCTTTCTCTTAAAAGAGTGCCCTGTTGGTACCTTTGGTGAGGATTGTACAGGCAACTGCAGTAGAAATTGTTTGAATAATGAAACGTGTAGCAATATAGATGGCAGATGCAATAATGGGTGCAAAGCTGGTTTTCAAGGATTTCTATGCGATAAAAGTGAGTCTTTTTGTTTTCAAATAAGCTATAATTCGGCCCTTAAATGGCAAGAATTTAGAATAAAGTTACATAAGAAGACAGTTAGGTTTATTCATAATACGTAGAATGTTTTGAAGGCTGCGAGATAAAATATAGTAAAATGATGGTGCTTTACTAAATCTGTGTCAGTTGCTCTGTTTTCTTCTCTCTAAGACGATTATAATATAAACACTTTATATAAAACATGTTTATTCTTATTATCGCTAAATTGAAAAAAAAATGCTTCAATTCAAAATATAGTTGAAATAGAAGTAACAGAAGCAATATTGCCAGACGTACCAGTATTTTTCCTGAAAGAAATTGACGCAAATGGCAAATGCTGCAGAAAAATCAAAATCTTTTTTTTCTGTATCAAATGTAAACATGTAAAGAACCTGAAGTCGAGTATTTTTGTTTTGCTCTGATTTTATAGGATGTGCAGAGGGTACATATGGGAACTGCAAACAAACTTGTAGCGGACAATGTGCCAACAATGAAACTTGTAACTATGTCGACGGTATATGTAACAATGGATGCAATCCAGGGTATTATGGAGAAAAATGTAGTTCTTGTAAGTTTAAAATTACTTTTATATTTTTAAAACACAGATTACAAAGCATCCACGTCCACTTTAAAGAAAACAAACACAGGGACGACCTCAAATCGACTTTTAATCAATATATATGGGAGAGGGTGTAAATTTTGGAGCCTGGGAAAGTCGGCCTTTAATTATGTGATTTATTTGTTAGACAGTGTTCAATACAAAATAATAAAATAATGTTTTTTTCTAAAATATCTTCAGTTTGGTAAAACATATTTTCAGATTCGTGTCATTTTTTGATAAAATAATAAACGTTAAATCTCATCGTTCTTTTCTTACATTGATTAGCTTGTAGTCCTGGTCGGTATGGTCAAAACTGTTCGTATATTTGCTCCGAAAATTGTAAAGATGCCAAGTGTGATCATGTCTATGGGAAATGTATATGTAAACAAGGATGGAAAGGATTAGACTGTTCGACAGGTGCTACTTCTTATCTTTTATTGATTTTGAAAAACAAGTGAAGGTGTTCATTTACTTAATATAAATCATCTTAATTGTATTTTAAGTTCTAATACTACGTGATGCATTATTTTTTAAGAATCATTTAAAATTCTGTAGAATGTTCAGTTGGCACATTTGGAGAAAATTGTCTTAAAAACTGCAGTGGCCATTGCAGCAATAATGAAATGTGTAGCAATACTAATGGAGAATGTCCAAATGGTTGTCAAAGCAACTACAAGGGTGTTACCTGCCATGAATTGAGTATGTATAATGGATATGCTTAATGTTTATTTTATTTTCCCCCACAAAACTACAGGTATTTGATTCTAGTTGTTGCTTCTACTTAATATGGCTTACTTCTTTATTTCTTATAAGTTGATATCGTCAAACGGCCTAAATTAGTTATGGTCCTTGAGTTGACCCCTTTTATTTTCCTTGAGTATTTCACAAGATTTTCTCCCTTGTTGCACCAAAGATCGTTAGAAAAGTTTTATAATATAAAAGTTATATAAGCTTTTTATAAAGTTAGCTCTTTGTCATATTTTACAATTGCTGACGATGAAATGATCAGACAGGTAAGAATTATAATCTGAACAAAATTTTTACCTCACTTAGCATAAGTCCGCTTCAACCACAAGTGTTAAAAATGATGTCTAAATCATTTTTTACGACATATCTAATATGTATTGGTGCTATCGTGTGCATTGCTTGCATTATGTCAACAGAATTTAAGTATACAAATTGGAATTGTTGACCTGTATTATGTAATTTCCGCTGAGGTTAAAACCCTAGGACCTGTGCTTCAAAATGGCGCCGGCTAAACATCGGTACCTTGAATGAGAGGTAAACAATCTACGTATATGCATGATTTTATACCATCACTTTTATTGAAAGAAAAAAATATTTACAAATAAGGTTTGCCTTACAAAATGAAATAGAATCCTAAATCTATTTTAAAAACCAACACTATCAGGGATCTCCGAAGAATGGTCTCTTTTCTTCATCCGCAAAAAATCAGTGGCTGTTGAATCTCTGAAAACGTTCTTTCGATAGTAACGGGCATGTTTCGTGGTATATAACGTGGTATATATAAACTTAAGATTTAATACTTGCCATATGTAATTAAAAGCACTTAACAAATATTTCTTCATATAAAAATATTTTTATTTAAAAAGACGTTTAAAATTCGAAAAAGAAACATTACTACACAAGACGTATAATATAATTTTTGACAAATTATCTTTAAGAATATTGTCAAAAATCCTATTTAATCTGGGATGTGGGGTTGCTAAGGGTGGGGGTTGGTTAAAATTCTTTAAAAAAAGTTTTTTTTATTTAAAAATTCCTTTTTTGCAGCACGGAGCACCGGGCTGCTCTATACATATAAGTTTAAGTGTTGGTGTATGGGGATTGAGATGGGAGAAGTTATTCAGAATTAAAGCTTTCTAAATATCAAAAAGATCGTTAATCAGAATGTTCTTTCCCTTTACAAATTACGAGATGGATAATATATTTATTTCCATAAAGTGAATAAATATATATATATTTTTCATATTTAATATATAAAGTTACTTATCATTTACTATCGAAAAAACGACAAGTCCCTTGTACACAGTGTGTGTTTTATATTCTTAAAGTGAAAAACATTTTTGAATTTAGGTGATACATGTGTATGGTTTCAATTTATATTTAATGCAGCAAACATTTATTTGATAATTGATAAAGTTTATATGGGTATTGTTTTTGTTCGATTTTCATCCGACTATAAGTTTTCAAAATATTCTCGACTATCGTCTCGATCATTTAGACGCATGCCTTTTTTACGCATATCGAAGCAGTTTGATGATCAAGACTCATATCCATTGTTAAGTTTATTTATTTCCTGGGCGACAATTTTTGGTTATATCAATGTTTTCTTGTACACTTCTTGGAACATGTTTACCAAAATGAATTATTGTTAGATTAAAGCTTTATGATGAAAATTAATAAAGATTTTGAAATTAACTATTGGTATAATATTGATTATAAAATCATTGCTTTGAAATAGCGATTTAAACTTTATTTTACAAAGTATCTAAAGCAAAATTCATTTTTATTGAATAATTAATATATATTGAAAAAAATGACATAAATGTGTGGTTGAGAGATTTTTTCAGTTTAAGATATTCCTGTTAAAGAAAGAAAGCTACTTACATATAAAAAAGGATTTTAACCGATCTTTAAGACACTATTATGAAAAATATTTCATAAATTTTTAAAGACAATCTTTGAAAAAAAATTGTTTTAATTGCAAATAAGGTCCTTTACATTTTAAGTAAAACAATATTTTATTCACGGGTGTAAAAGAAAATAGGATTGGGCAGCAGACTCAGCCTATTTTGCCTTTAGAGATGAAGTTTGCCATTAATTAATGCTCGATACTAAAATCTAATAAAACATGTCGAGAAAATCCAGATAAGCGGTGCTTTTAATTGCTATAAATTATTTATGAAAATATACATTGTAGAATTCCTTCTTTAATAAACACAGTATGGTGAACTCTACCTGTACCCCCTAGAAGGCCCTTTAATTGAGTGTGATAATTAGATGTTTGTTTTGTCCAGTAGACGTTTGGGAAACACACCTCTAGAACAACCCACTTACCTATTTATTGCATGCGATAATGTTTATTATTTCTTTTTTTCCAATAAATAGTCCTTAAACATTTCCAAATTTATAATAGATCAAAATTCATATGTTGAAATATCCCTTCTACATTATCTTTCTTTAGTATCTGTTTATCATATATGGTTACGCCATTTTGAGAGAATGAAATAATGTACGATTTACTGATTGTCGTAATTAATTAATTAAATCAATCAATTATATCGCACTTCACCAGAGTACACCCGACACAGGCCAGACGTATTCCATAGCGGTCTGGATTTCTTTCTTTACTATTGATTATAAACTTTCCAGTTCAACATGTAAGATTGTTAATTTTAGTTTTTGGTAAGTTAGTGGTAGTGCTAGTTGATTTTTGTTTCTCTTTTTCCTTTGTTCTCGTGACTTTTTAACTTTTTTCTTTGTCCTGAGAAGGGACAGCGCGTCCCGAAAATTCAACAGTTTTTTTCTTCGTATCATTGTTTATTTTTAGTTCTGTCAATAAAAATTCACGAAACGATGCGATGATAAAAATTTTAATGAAAAAAGAAAAACAAAATGAATAAGTTTGAACTTATTTAGGAAAGTTTTTGGGTCGATTTGGGAATCTTTTTACCTTTTATTTTATTGTCTATCAACTTGGCACATGGTTATAAGATTGAGGTAAATTTCCTTGAAATATAAGAAAAGCAATTTATTCAACCGTTTCCTTTTAATGATGTCATCTTTGACCAATTCATAAAAACTACTTAATTCTTAATTTCTAAAAATCTGTAAGAAAAAAATTAATTTCTACTTAAAATATTGGATGATTTGGATGAAAATAAAATTACCGGATAATCAAGGCTTTATTTACTGTAAAATCACATATTTTCATGTGGTCAAATCTTCGTGGTTTGGGGGAGGGACCCTTCAAGTTGGTTCATTGGAATTTGATTTTGTGGATGGAGAACTTTTTTTCATTTATGTATGTAACATTTTTTCGTGGTGGACATAAATTCGTGGGTCTCTTCATACCTCGAAAACAACATAAATTAACCCCCACGAAAATTTTCGATTTCTTAGTAATTGCTTATTGGTTTTATATCACAATGAAAATAAAAATAGCAAAAGATTAAAAACAGGAGAAGTTTTGTCATTTTCTACGATTAAATTATTACTTGTAGTTATATAAATAAAAAATATGTATTGCAGAACCAACAAAGGAAAAACCACAGCCTCTCATCATTGGGATTGTTGTTCTTTTTCTCCTGCTGGTGATAATCATAATCATGACTGTTATAATAGTGAAACGGTAGGTATTTAGGATTAATTACAGTATATAAATTTCTCATAAATATTTACTCTTCTTATGCACTTTCCTGCTACATATGTAACAAAATCTTATATAGTTCATACTATAATGTTTTTCTCTCTTCTCTGCAGAAGAAATAGACTTTTTAAAAATATACATGATTTTGGACATTTAAACGCTGTCTTTTCTTCCAAGAAAGAGTTAACTGGTAAGTGGTTAGATAAATAACCTTAAAGTTATTCTTGTCTTCTCTGAGGCAAAATTAACTCAAACATTAGGATGTCTTACTTCATGAAAATAAGAAATTTATATATGTACAATTCTATAATACTATAAATACTATGAATGTCTGTTAAGATTTCAAACACTCTTAAATTTATTGCATTATCGTATTTTAATATATAATAGAAAAACTCATTTCAGAATACAAATAGTTGGTTGAAATTGGAATTATTATCATACAAAAATATATGATCATTTTGACAGGAGGCAAAAATACAGAATTTCATTCGTACGAAAATGACATTGCTAAGTCAGAAGCAGAGACAAAGAACATTTCTATAGGGGACCTCTCAAAGACCATAGAGGAAATGTTTGAGAATGATACAAGTTTCAAAGCAGAGTATGAGGTATGGTATTTGAAGACAACATTGGTTATGATTATTTGTAAATCTAAATTATATTATCTCAAGCTCCACATCTCTTAAGTATTATTTACAAAAGTAAATTATAATTACATGTAACTATAGTAATATTGTACAATTGTTATCTGTTGTTTATCTTTTAATAGTAAAAAAAATACTTTGATTTGCTTCGAAATTATACAATTGAATATTTCTTGGAAATTAAGAAGGCTATTAAATCTAAAATTTGTTTTATTTAATTTTGGTAGTAATCTACCTATGAACAGGCACATTTTTTATTAAAATTTAAAAAAAAAAACATAATTATAAGATTTTGAAAAATGAAATAAACAAAACTTTGATTCAATACAGTCCAAAAATTGATTCACAATTGTAAAAAACAAAATTAAAAAATTAAAAATTAAACAATTCATATGGCAAAAGAATATGAAAAGCGTGCCCAGTTGTTAGGGTATTCATTTTTCATGAAGATATTTTATGCATTTTCCTTTTTTATAGCAAATTCCAAACGGAGAATTACATTTATGTGATGCTGGAAAAAGGGATGAAAACAAAATAAAAAACAGATATAAAACAACATTTCCGTGTAAGTGCCCTTTAAGAATAGGTGTCAAATGGAAAAAAGAAACAAGGAAAAAATGTTTTCTTAAATAACCAACAAAAAATATGTGATGTTGACAAAAAAAAATTGTGTCAGAAAATACTGAGTACATAAATTTATATTTACAATATAACTATATATTTATTGTGACATTGAAATGCGATTAATAGAACTTCAACTGAAAACAAAATTAAGAAAAATGATATTTTTAACACTTTTGTATTTTAGAAATATTAAATATCATATTTTCTTTACATTGTTTCTTTTAGATGACCATTCCCGAGTTAAGCTTCAAGTGGAAAACATGCGATCTGATTATATTAATGCCAACTACATAAAGGTGTTTATTTAGTTTATTTTCATTGCTTTTTAAAGTATGTTATATTAAATTAACTATCATTTATCTAGTTGAAACTTTATAACATACATATTTACAATATTCGTTTAAATAATCTGAGAAAATTCTGAAAGAAAAAGGCTGAAAAAGACTGGACAATTAAATGCTACATTTGGCATTAAAAAAAAATGTTTTTCTTTAATTTTTTGTATTATTTTGAAATATTTTCAGATTTTTCAAAATTTAGCCTCGTTTTAAAAATACTCTGTTTTTTCTTTTCATTTTTTTTATTTTATTTTTTAAGGATATATCAGGGGAGCAGAGATATATAGCTACACAAGGTAAAAGTAAAAATTGTTTATTTATTGTAATGGTAAACACGTGCATTCAAAAAAAATGTTACCTTTAGCATGTTCAGTTTTTAAATAATAAATTCCAAATGTAATATGTGCAATTGTTCTGTAATGCGTAACCAGATTTTATTTTTAAAGTCGCTTGGTCCGATTCTAATCGCGAAAAAAATATATTCGTTTTTCTTCTTGGAAAAATAATTGTCCATAAATTGTTTCAACTTTTGTCAAATTATATCCTTAAAGTCTTTTTCTTTTAAAAGATATCAAAATTCAAAAGTTAAAAAATAATTTTTGTTAGATCACACAAAAAAACTAGAGATACTGTGAGCAATGAGCTCACTAAATGATACCCCATGCCTCCCATATGAATATAATGCCAGGTCCATGTTTTGCTTTGGAAAATGCAAAATATATGTCAGATCAAAAAGTAAAATAGGAGGTGCACAATGGCAATATGTAATAAAGATTCTGTGAAAGTTTCATTAAATTTCCTTCAGTGGTATGAGAGGAGTTGCGGATAAGAGATGGGTACCCCAAAGCGTAACAGACGGACGGACGGAAATACCGATTACTATATACCCTTTCACTTTTCAAGCGGGGGGTATAATAATCCTATGTTGATATCGCGTGAAATCACCTTCGAAAAATCAAATTTATCGCTTATATCTCATGAAGAACAAACCCGAGCATTTTTTACACTACTTATACCTGTACACGGACAATATTTTAGCCAATTATTTTCGTTACTAATCTTCCTTTTAAAAAAATATCTGATTTTCCTTTATTCTTTAAATATGCATATTAATATAAAAATTACTATGGATTATATTCAATTAATTCCTTAATTTTTAAAAGATATATTATGACTTCTATGGCTTCTACTAATAGAAAAAAATACACGGGTTTGAATTATCTTTATAATTAAATATAACCGATAAACCTATTTTTTCAAAGGTGACTTCACAACAGATATTAACTTCCAGTCAAGAACTTTTGTATTTCAATAAGGTTTTTTATGTTTTCCTTGTAAGGATTGTTGTAATAAACTAGTTAATCAATCTTATGATTTATTTTTATATATTTTCTATGTAATGACGTATTTTTATTGAGTTAGATAATTTGTGCCTGTTTCGGATTAAGCGGCTTTAAAGTATCTAAAAATAAATGGTTTCTTTATAGGAACAAGCATTTATCTTTTTTAGATACAATTTATGATGGAGTTATATAATGGACTAGGGTAAAACACAATGTTTTTGCACTCCATCATATAAAATTTTATCTCTATAGGTCCAAAAAAGGAAACGGTGGCTGATTTTTGGGCAATGATATGGCAGGAATATGTTAATGTTATTGTTTGTCTAACAAATCTAAAAGAAGGAAAACAGGTAAATTTCATATTTTACGAATTAATTTATCCTTTCTGTTCTATTTACGAGTATGGTTAAGGATATCCGATCCTCAGCCAGGAAGGATAACTCCAAAAATTAATATTTAATTTGAAATGCATCAAAATGAAGCTTGAAAATGAATTTTTTTCATGCAACAATTTTCATTTTATTCGTCTTTATAAGATTCAAGGTTTTTTGGAAGCCTTAGAAAAGGTCTTATAAAAGTTGACATTTGTGCCCTATATAAGGGAAAAAAATAATACATTTTTACTGAAATAAGATTTCTTTGAATCCAGGCTTAGATACCAATGCTTATTAGCATGATATGAAATAAGAAGTGATTTGTGGTGTCTTGCAATGATAGCAAAAGCCTTTTACACTATGTATTATAGAATACATGACGGAAATAGAAGACAATAAATACCAAATAAGTATAAAAATCATGACAATTTCTCTAAATGCCTGGATACCTATCGTTTTTTAACCTAAAATATATTTGTTGATCAATTTGCAATTACAAAATGCATTGCTGATATTCCAATTCGCTTTTTCTGCAAAAATATTGGAGATTTGACAATTTTCCCTATATAATATGATTAACTTTAATCTTTAACTTTAAAGAAATACTGTGGATAAATTTACATAATTTTGTGGATTCAGAGATACTTTTTTGAGTATTTTTGATTACTTAACTGCTAATTTTATAAACCTGAATTTTATCCTTTCTTTTCAATTTTTGGTTAATTTTAGTTACCTGCAGAATAAGTCACTTTGCATGAACCTCTTTTATGTAGAAAAAGTGTCAACAATATTGGCCAGATTGCCACGACAAAATCCAAAATGGCAATTTTGCAATTCGAAACCAAGAGGAGAAGACGTATTCAAACTACATTAAAAGACATCTGAGACTGCAAGATACAATTGTAAGTTGAAAGTGATAGAAATATAAATCTCGAAGTTTTTAATTTTTTATCACCTCTCTCTCTCTCTCTCTCTCTCTCTCTCTCTCTCTCTCTCTCTCTCTCTCAATTCAGGGTCCGCCGTCATTAAACTTTGAGAATTCTCAAAAATATTCTCAACTCAACTATTGATAATTACTCAGCTGAGAATTTGAGAATAAAAGAGTTTAAGGAAACTTTATTTTTCTCAACTTTTTTATGACGGCCGCTGAGTCTGAAAATTTTGGATTTGAGAAAATTCTCAGGCTTGAGAGCATTCTCAAACTTAAGTATGTTTTATGACGGCGGACCCTGATCTTTACTTCACTCTGTTAATCCATTATTTTTACACTGAATTGACGACAGATTTTTCCGTTATTTCCCGATCATGACAAGGAGCACACGGCGGGTGTGACCGGTCAGCAGGGGATGCTTACTCCTCCATGGCATCTGATCCCACCTCTGATGTTTTGGTGGTCCGTGTTGGAGGTCCGTGTTTGCTCTGTTCCTATTTTGTATTGTCTTATGGACTTCGATATTATTTACTGTTCGTTATCTCCATATCCTTCATTCATTTAAGGGTAAAGAAGAAAAAGACGTGTGGATGTTTCATTACACACAATGGCCAGACCACGGTGTTCCCGAGGCTATAAATCTTGTGGTGTTCCATCGGCATGTACAGAGAGTTTTTGCAGAATCTCCAGATAACAGTAAAATAGTTGTCCATTGCAGGTAAACAATCTTCATCTATTTCCCGATTTATCATAATTTATCATAAAAATAGAATTTTTTTATCATCTAAAAAATTACCTCGGTTTGTCGCAACCCTTAGTGAATTTAAAAGCTGAAAAGTCACTTCTCAGATAAATGTATAATTATGTATATAATTTTGTTAACTTAGTCTCCTTATTTAACTCCTCTTGAAAAGTGTGAAGGTACATGTTTGTCGTGATCGGGATTCCGTCTTTCCTTCAATCTGTCCGTCTATACGTCCGTCTGTACGTCCTCCCGCCCGTCTGTTACGCTTAGGGGTATCACTCTCTTCTCCACAACTCCTCATATACCACTTAATATAATTTGATGATACTTTCAAAGACTCTTTTTCATAAAGGAGTATTTATTGTTAAAAACGTTTACCGGTATAATGTCAGAGAGAATTGTAATATTACTTTTAGTGCTGGATTAGGAAGAACAGGTACATTCATAGCTTTAGACGCTCTCTACCGGAACGGTTTGACATCAAGATCTGTAAATGTGTCTGAATATGTCACTCAAATGCGCCATGACAGAATGAACATGGTACAAGGAGAGGCAAGTGAATATAATTTTTTTTATACAATTTGTTACTCTTGAAATATAAAATCAGGAATTTGATGATTGAAATCTTGTTAACTATATTATCTAAGGAGAGTGATTTTGAATCATCATTAATTTTTTTATGTTTTCTATATCATTCCATCCTAATTTCCCTACGAATCTAGTGTACAATCAATAATAATCTTGTTGTAGGAACAATACAAAATGATTTACATGACTGTACACGAATCATTCAGAGGACACCTGCGCCCTGTTACTGCTGAATCATTTCTGTCAAACCACCAGACTTTAAATTGTAAACATCAAGAAGATGAAATCAAAAAAGAACAGGAGACTGATGATTTTAAGGTATTTTTTAAATATTTACATTTAATTACTTTTGTTATGAATTATTTTGGAAAAAAAAGTACAGTACCCGCATCGTTATTCTTTACAGGATACACGATACGATAGGATACACGCACGACACGATAGGATACGCGCACGATAGGACAGGATACACGCACGATTGGATAAACGCAAAACACGATAAACGCAAAACACGATACACGCAAAACACGATAAACGCAAAACACGATAGACCTGATAAACGATCTTCACGATAGGATAAACGCAAAACCTGATAGGATTATTTCAAAATGCGGAACGTTTTCTGACAAGACGAAGAGATTATTTTGTGTATATAGTTACTGCAATATTTTAATTTAAACATTTGCAAGGCTTCAAATCTATATTATAAAGTACATTTAATTATTATAATAAAAGATAACTTGAGATCACTGTGGTAATTTTACAAAAGTTGTTTGTTTATTTATATATTAAAAAAATGACAATGATTGAATGGATTATTATGAAATGGAGACTGTAATTTTTTTTCAATTTCTACTCAAAGGTGTGAATGTACGGTTATCTGTGTAAATGTCGAAATTCTCATCTTAAGGTTGAACTATGAATCGTTTTGTTATGGATATTTTACCATACATCTGATTGTTGCACAAAATTACCTTACATAATTATGTACCGTTTCTCACGGGTACTATTATAGATTGATGAAACTCGATAAATAGATTTATATATTTATGAAAAAATATACATTTGAATTTTCTATCTAATAAATTTATCTACAAGTACTAAGTTATTTCACGGAAGAAATTTACGCAATAAATTAAATATTTGTTTTTAATGTTTAAAGCTTACAATCTGCGATGTATCCAAAAATCGCAATTAAATATTAAAATTTTAGAAAAAATACAAGTAGAAGACCAGCCGAAAGAAAGGTTCAAAGAAAACGGCTTTAACAAAATTAAAAAATTTAACATGATAGATCTATCAAGATCTCAATAGTTCACGAAAATTAATTTCCTGAATAGAAATCTTAGTAATTTTTAATATAATGGCTCACTGCAATAATTCATGTAAACTGTGTCAACAGAATATGAATCTGCTACAACTGCACATGTACAGTGTACATGTACGTTCACTTGTATATCACATACGTAGAACCTCGTGTTAATTAACGAACATAGAATGATTAAATAGTTTTTTACTTGTACAGTGTACATGTACATTCACTTATGAACATGTAAACATTTATATATCACATACGTAGAACCTCGTATTAATTAACGAACATAGAATGATTAAATAGTTTTTTACTTGTACAGTGTACATGTACGTTCACTTATGTACATGTAAACATTTATGTATCACATACGTAAAAACTCGTATTAATTAACGATCATAGAATGATTAAATAGTTTTTTACTTGCACAGTGTACATGTACGTTCACTTATGAACATGTAAACATTTATATATCACATACGTAGAACCTGTATTAATTAACGAACATAGAATGATTAAATAGTTTTTTACTTGTACAGTGTACATGTACGTTCACTTGTATATCACATACGTAGAACCTCGTACTAATTAACGAACATAGAATGATTAAATAGTTTTTTACTTGTACAGTGTACGTGTACGTTCACATGTACGTTCACTTATGAACATGTAAACATTTATATATCACATACGTAAAAACTCGTATTAACTATATAACGAACATAGAATGATTAAATAGTTTTTTACTTGTACAGTGTATATGTACGTTCACTTATGTACATGTAAACATTTATGTATCACATACGTAAAAACTGGTATTAACTATATAATGAACGTAGAATGATTCAGTAGTTTTTTACTAAACAATACCAAACACAAAAATTAATTCACAAATATTAAAACACTGAAATGCGACTTTTCCGACTAAATGATTATAAATAATTGCTATTAAATTTTGTGTGTACTGTTATTAAGAATAACAAAAAATAGGTTTAAGGTCAAGATCTACTAAATAACTTCAGACTAATTTTTTGGTGCTAGATCCATTATGACGTCATAATCAATTTCAACTTTCTTTTTCCCGTACTTTACGGCTTTAGCAGAATTATATAGAAAATAAGGTATTTTCATGTCATTCAATTTGAAATCATATGTAAAGTAAACCGGATACCTTTATTAAATTTGATATTGATTTAAAGAAGAGGCCATGAACATACTAATTACCGTTTTCTGAGAGACTGTAGGCAATCTGGATACATTTCCTTTGCCAAATACGAAAAAAACTCCCGTATTCCTGACTGGTTTTCTTAATTTTTCATTGAAAATGACAGTTTAAAATACAGTTTTTCATCTTGTTCACCTACAAATTATGCCCCGAAACACCCTATTTGACCAAGCTAAAGTTGTAAAGCATCAATAAAGGAATTCATTTCTCAAATTTGATAAATCTGTAGGCACCTTTCATTTACTAAATCTTGACCTTAAGTCGGCAAATGAATTATTAAACCCTGAAAATTATTTTAGACTTACCCGGTAGGTAATCTTATATGAGGCATATTCGAAGGGCGGGATGTTGAAAGTCCGTTACCAATTTAAAATTAGATAATGATCTAAACAAATAACCAAATATAACATTGAATTCATAAATAAAGCTATATGCGTATGGAATGATAGATTTATACTATAAATTGATTCCGTGTATTTACTTGTATTGCATGGTCACGGCGGAATAAGACGACTTCTTTTGTTTTATTATTATAGAAAGATACCGTAAAAAAATAATGCAAGCTAATTTTTCATAGTTTAGAATGTTAGAACTATTTCATCCGTTTCTACGATTAATGAAATTGTTTCCTAGAATTAATTTTGTCCGTATTACGCAGAAAACCCGATGATCCAAAAGTTCATGTACCATAAGTGCAGTACTTTTTTAAATTAATTAAAAGACTTATTAACTTACATTAACATAATGGAAACATTGTACAAAATGAAATAAATCAGCGGATTGAGTTAAACTTCATTTCTTTAAATTGATTTATTTGAATTTTGATTTAAAATTGAAGCAATGAAATGACTTTTTTAATCCATAAATTATACAATTATTTAATATATTTTGAATTAAATCCTTGATAAGTTTGTTCACACAAGTTAGAAAGAAAATCCCGAAATTAAGTAGAATGATGCGTTTCATTAGAGACAGGCAGTATTCTAAGTTACTAATTGACCCCAGGTGAGAAATCAGTACAGGTATGTTGACGGTGATCACACACACAGGCCGAGGTGTCAGTTAGGGGAGAAGAGGGAGGGGGTGTTGACCGCACAGGAAGGCAGTGTGCTGATAAGAAAGGTATAAATACATGTACGTGTCATTTTTCTGGTAAGGAAAGGTCTTCGATTTGATACCCCGGTGGATTAAATTTTCATTTTTATTTCCACGCCGAAAAGGTAAGCTGTTAAAAAACATCATGTTTTTCCCTGTATATATTATTTTTAGGTTATCTAATGCCAGATAAAATTAATGAAAACTTCTATTTTATAGTAGCAGCCATGGTGTGATAAATTAGGTAGAATATTTTCATGCATTATGTTTTATAATTTTGATTTTTTTTATTAATTCGGACATATATCACAAGGAATTTACAATTACCTACTTGAATAGTGATATAAGATAAATTTAAAAATTGAACATATACGGCCAAATTCGGTGTTAAAATCATCTGGATCAATGTCTTATGTTTTATTATTTTTGTAACATCAAGACTTTAAATAATTGTGCATACATGCAGATCAGAGGCGTAAACATATTACTAATATTAAACAAGGAAAAAAAAGAATATCAATGTCCTGCTTATTATTTATTTATTTGCTTTTTGGGTACGCATACACCGTAGCTTACCAAAAATCTTTCTCCGGTAAGTGATTCATTTAAGAAAATCATATTAATAATATTTAATTTTGACAAAATAAATCATACAATTCGATAAAATTATTTAAAAAAAAAATAGACCAGATGATCGATTATAATATCATTTCCGAAAAATAGAATTACTGTTTAAATTTTGACAATCACCATCTGGTTTACTATGATATAATTATTTTATTTATTTATTTATTTATTTAATAATTATTTTTTTTTATTTACCCATGAATTACGCTATTTATTTATTCCTTTCGTTCTACGCTTTAATCTTTCTTTTAATGATAATAAAGAAAGGGATAAAACTTTCTTTTCTCTTTTTCGGTGGAAGTAATCTTATTTTAGTTAACAAAACGAAAAAGAAACTCGGAATAACTCAGTAGTTTCTTTCTATAGTAAAGATAAAAAGCGAGGGTTTCCGAATATACACGATAAACGCAAAACACGATACACGATAGAACCTGATAAACGATCTACACGATAAACGCAAAACACGATAAACGGAAAACACGATAGAAAACGCAAAACACGATAAACGGAAAACACGATACGATAGGACACGATAGGATACACGCACGATACGATAGGATACACGCACGATAGGACACGATAGAATTGTAAAGAATAACGATGCGGCTACTGTATATGTCAATAATTGGTCAGATGTGTGTTTGTGTTTAATGTATATCGTTTTTAGCTCACCTGAGCCGAAGGCTCAAGTGAGCTTTTCTGATCACATTTTGTCCGTCGTCCGTCCGTCTGTCCGTCTGTAAACTTTTCACATTTTCGACTTCTTCTCAAGAACCACTGGGCCAATTTTAACCAAACTTGGTACAAAGCATCCTTGGGTGAAGGGGAGTTAAAATTCTTAAAATGAAGGGCCAAGTCCCCTCCAAAGGGGAGATAATCAACAAAAGACAAAAATAGGGTGGGGTCTTGAAAAAATCTTCTTCTCAAGAACCACTGGGCCAGAAAAGCTGAAACTTATATGGAAGCAACCCTGGGTAGTGGAGATTCTAAATTGTTCAAATCATGGCCCCCGGGGGTTTGGCGGGGCCACAATAGGGAATCCAAGTTTTACATAGAAATATATAGGAAAAAACTTTTAAAATCTTCTTCTCAAGAACCAGTGGGTCAGAAAAACTTAAACTTATATGAAAGCATCCTGGGGTAGCCTAGATTCTAAATTGTTAAAATCGTGACCCCCAGGGGTGGGGCGGGGCCACAATAGGGAATCCAAGTTTTACATTGAAATATATACGAAAATTCTATAAAAATTTTCTTCTCAAGAACCAGTGGGCCGAAAAAACTGAAACTTATGTTAAAGCATCCTAGGGTAGTGTAGATTCTAAATTGTTCAAATCATGACCACCGGAGGTTGGGCGGAGCCACAATAGGGAATCAAAGTTTTACATTGAATTATATAGGAAAAAACTTTTAAAATCTTCTTCTCAAGAACCACGGGGCCAGAAAAGCTGAAACTTATGTGGAAGCATATTGGGATAGTGTAGATTCTAAATTGTTCAAATCATGACCCTCGGGGTTTGGGCGGGGCCACAAAAGGGAATCAAAGTTTTGCATAGAAATATATAGAAATAAAATTTCAAAATCTTTTCCTCCAGAGTCGCTGGGCCATAAAAGCTGAAACTTAAATGGAAGCATCCTGGGATAGTGTAGATTCTAAATTATACAAATTGTGACCCCCAGGGGTTGGGTGGGGCCACAATAAGGAATCAAAGTTTTACATAGAATTATATAGGAAAATTCTTTAAAAATCTTCTTCTCAAGAACCAGTGGACCAGAAAAGCTGAAACTTATGTGGTAGCATCCTGGGGTAGTGTAGATTCTAAATTGTTTAACTCGTGACCCCCGGGGGTTGGGCGGGGCCACAGTAAGGAATCAAAGTTTTACATAGAAATATATAGGAAAATTCTATAAAAATCTTCTTCTCAGGAACCAGTGGGCCAAAAAAGCTGAAACTTATGTGAAAGCATCCTGGGGTAGTGTAGATTCTAAATTGTTCAAATCATGACCACCGGAGGTTGGGCGGAGCCACAATAGGGAATCAAAGTTTTACATTGAATTATATAGGAAAAAACTTTTAAAATCTTCTTCTCAAGAACCACGGGGCCAGAAAAGCTGAAACTTATGTGGAAGCATATTGGGATAGTGTAGATTCTAAATTGTTCAAATCATGACCCCCGGGGGCTGGGCGGGGCAACAATAGGGAATCAAAGTTTTGCATAGAAATATATAGGTAAAATTTTAAAAATCTTTTTCTCAAGAATCATTGGGTCAGAAAAGCTGAAACTTATGTGGAAGCATCCTGGGATAGTGTAGATTCTAAATTATACAAATTGTGACCCCCAGGGGTTGGGTGGGGCCACAATAAGGAATCAAAGTTTTACATAGAATTATATAGGAAAATTCTTTAAAAATCTTCTTCTCAAGAACCAGTGGACCAGAAAAGCTGAAACTTATGTGGTAGCATCCTGGGGTAGTGTAGATTCTAAATTGTTTAACTCGTGACCCCCGGGGGTTGGGCGGGGCCACAATAAGGAATCAAAGTTTTACATAGAAATATATAGGAAAATTCTATAAAAATCTTCTTCTCAGGAACCAGTGGGCCAAAAAAGCTGAAACTTATGTGAAAGCATCCTGGGGTAGTGTAGATTCTAAATTGTTCAATTCATGACCCCCGGGGGTAGGACGGGGCCATAATTTGGAATCACAATAGGTTATTACAAGGGGGAAATCTGGTAAAGAACAGCATGGTCAAAGCTACTCAGGTGAGCGATGTGGCCCATGGGCCTCTCGTTATTGTTCATTATCATTACCCTTAATAATACATTGGAGGACATATAGTTTTATTTTACCCTCTCCATCCACCTTTCTGTTTTGCTGGGGGAATCAAACAGAATATTTCACGAAATTAGTGTAATTGTGTAAACAGAATTGTTTAAGACGGCATATACAAAGATACATATAAGGGGGTTTAGAAGCGTATATCGTATATATTATGTGGATTTCATACGGAGAAAAAGTTTATTAGACAGGTTTGCTAATTTATTTCCATCGATTATGTTTTTTTTTCAAAGAAAGTCAGCTATTTAAGGATCTCGGTCGACCTTTCCTCTGTCATTGGTGACAAAAATAATACAAACAACAGTAAGCTGGGTATTTCAAAACATAAAATTTGTACAGATCGAAGGCTTGCCTTCTAAATACTTCTTAAGTGCTGCTAGAATCCCGAGGTTAGCATGGTTTAAGAAAAAATCTCGGGTTGTATGTTTAAAATTAAAAACCTCGGATAAGATTTCGTGCAAATGTCTGGAAAAATTATTTATCTACCGGACAGTGGGATTCTAGCAGTACTTTTTTTTGCATAATAGATGTGTATTTTAAAACTGTATTAATTACTCAAAGAAATAATTAAACTCAAGGTACTGTTGTTCTCTGAGCATTTTCACTAGGGAACACTTCACTTTCAAAAGAATCACTTGATGACTTGGTGGTGGTGCACGTCTTTGCTTTAGGCACTATTCTATCTTTAGTCCATAGTTTAAGTTAACGTTTTATCAGCGGCCTTGGTAGATTTTCAAACTTAACTTTCTTTAAAAAATTAAAATTTCCCGATCAATCACTTAAATGTTTCCTTAGCTTTCCAGCGCTGTCTGATGTCTGCAAAAACTTCAACTTTGATCAAAAGTTTTTATCAGTTTCTTTGGAGAACAACTTTTTGACGTTTATCATTAATTTTTATCAATTGTTGATAAGGATTTCATATTTTTTTTGTTGATAACTTTCACTTGGCCATTTATTATAGACAATGTTTCACATTGACTTTATTGCTTGCATTTCTTTTTAGAAAACATTTTATGCCGTATTAACTTTTCAACGATTGGTGTATAGGCTTGAACATTTTTACAGTTATATTCCCTATTATATCGAGAAAAGACCTTGCATCTTTTTGATTTATTTAAAATACATACTATCTGAAAAAAAATTAAATTCTTAACGTGAAAGATTTTCAGACAGGTTATTCTGAAAGCAATCAAGTTTTTGAAAATTTAATAATTTAACTCGATTTTCCAGGAGCTCACTTTACTCAAAATACAATACGATGCAACTGAAAGATCAGCACAGAACAATGATGCATTTAATTTTACACCAATTGTTATGCCAGGTAAGAAAAATCCTGTCTACTTCTTTTAATTTTTTTGTTATTGCATGTCACATATTGATATGTGAAAACTTAAAAATTACCAAAAAAAAAAAAATAAATTCAATATCTAATGTTTTATTCAAATAGTTGAGAAATATAGATGTCATCTGCTCTCTGACGATGATACACCGGTTTACTACAACGCTGTCATTCTTCAGGTTTGCAAATATGAATTTCTGTGTTGATGACAAACAAGATTTTTATTTTACAATACAACTTTAACCGGAATTCTCTTTTGAGTTATTTCTATAAATAATAGTCATTCACGAAACCCAATGGACCTATCAGTGCCCAGTATCCACTGGAGAAACAGTGTGAAGATTTCCTGTATCTTGTGAAAGAGAGCAGAGCTGGTACTGTAGTTTTTCTGGGGCCGCTTGAAGATATTCCCTCGGTATGGATAATATATAATGTCATTACTTAACCCCGGGAGCTAGGTCTTGCTCGGTTGCTTCTTTTGCTTTGTTATTTAAACCTTGTTTCACTTTTATGTATTAATGATTTTTTTTTTCAATTTGAAATTTAATTCAAATGTTTAAATGCTTGATAATTGATATACATAATGCTTATTCTAATTTTATAAGATTATTGCTTTCCAAATACTATATAGAAAATATACAGGACAAGGTAGGATAACGGCCAAATCTCGCCCCATATTTAATGTAAAAATCAGAACACTAGTGAAATTGTTATAAGTCTTAGGTAAGAACTTAAAATGATGCTTGCCTTCAAACCAGCACTAATTTGGATTTAAAGCTTACATGGAAGCCACTAGAGGGTGCAGAAGTAGGACATTTTACCGAATTTCCTTAATTCTGGTAGAATTTCATTATACTTTAGATACTTACTTTTCTCCTCGGAAAACATAGAGTACAAGCTTGCCTATCTGAGATTTTTACACATAAACTTCATCTGATGCTAGCTGATAAAATATATAAATTTGGTAGATAGGCAATTTGTGCTGTATATTTGTCGAAACAAAATGTGCTCTTAAATCGGTAAAAATTCGAAAAAGGACCTTTTTTTCTTTCATCTCTGTAACCTCTGTGAATTTCAAAACTTGGAACCAATACTCATTTTGTGGCAGAAATGACGACAGGTTTCTATGGATAAACTGCTACATAATTCTGAAAGACCTCCAAATCAGAAGCCAACAAACGGGTCTACCCCTATCTTGTATTTGCCCATCGTTGAGGATTAGATATACATGCAGGTGGAGCTTGCATTGAAGAAATGTCTCTTAGGGTTTCGCTGAAGGTCAACATGTCCAAAAATATCCCGTGTCACAGTAGGTGGCGCTGGAGAGAGATCCTTTACTTTTCAATGACTGTAACTATCGTAAAGATTAGAATTTGTAGCCCTCCACCAGCAAGTTTGGCGTCTTTATATTAGTGAAAAACTCTCTTAGGGACGTTAAATATATATAAAAAAAATCAATTAATCTAATGCTTTAGCAAAAAAGTTGAAGACTGGATGTTGACTTTTTTCAATTAAAAGAAAAAAAAGTTAGATTTGAATGCTTGTTGTTTTTTTTTTATTTTTACTTGTCCTTACTTGTCTCAACTATATGCACTCATCCTTTAGTGAATATATATAGTTACTGTATTTCTCTTAAGTTATTTATACTTTGCACATTTAATTTATTCTAGACAAAGATCTGGTTTCCATCAAAGAATGATAGCAAGACTGTTGGAAAGTTTTCAGTAAAAATGAGAAAATGTGACCCTTCAACTGTAGTCACGAAAACGAATATCATCATTCAAGGAAAGGTGATATATTTCTCTCTCTCTCTCTCTTTCTCTCTCTCTCTGGCACAAAAACATATTATGTACATCTTTTTTGACGTGAATTTTTATGTCATGATGTTTACTTAAACCAATATTCGTTCCTATTGTTTCAGGGCTTCAAGGACATCCCTTTATCTGTTTTGGAATGCAACTTCTGGAAAAGTGATGCTTTAATTGCCGATTGTAGGAAAGTTCTAGAGGCAATCAAGGAAACAAGACTGGAAGAATCCACACATTCGAACAATAGAACTATTGTTTTCTCAAGGTATATATAATATAGATCTTTAAAATTTGGTTCCAGTATATACGACTTTAATTAAGTGAATGTTATTTCTATGAAAAGATCTATGCTGCTTTACTGAGTTTCATTCTGCACATAAAATTATATATAAAAAGTATAAAGTTTAAATATATAAACATTTTGATGGTTTAGTATTTTTGTTGGAAAACGATAATTTTTTCATATAATTTGCCAATCTGCATTGTCAATATGTTCCAGTCACTTTTAAAGGCTTAAATTGGTACTAGATTAGTTATATTTTTTTAAAGCATAAATACTCTACGGAATACCTGTTATCTTTATAGATTGAAAGCTTAAGGAAACTTTTTCTACATTGAATAAAATTGACCATGGTACAATGCTTTTTTAGGTCACCTGAGCAAAGGCTCAAGTAAGCTTTACTGATCGAAATTTTGTCCGCTGTTTGTCGTTGTCGTCGTCGTTGTCATCGTTGTAGATGTAAACTTTTCATATCTTCATCTCCGTCTCAAGAACCACTTGGACAATTTCGAACACACTTATCCATAGGTAATTAAAGGAAATACAAGATTGTTCAAATGAAGGGCCAGGCCTTCTTCAAATGGGAAATAATTGAGAATTTGTGTATTTGAATTTGAATGTATTTTGCATCCCCACTGCAATTTGCCCTTTTGTTATTTTGTTTAGTCTATTTTTTTCTTTTGTACAACTCTTTCTTATATGACTTCCTCTGTATTTATTTCTCTGTTACCCTGTTCATTTTTGTTTGTGTTTTTTTTTTCTTATTCTTCTTTTGTACATATTCTCTTATTACAATTATTTTTTATTTACCTTAACCTTAATGTAGGGAGAGGGCTAAAATAGACTGCGCCTGCTGCCCAATCCTATTCACAATAACATCTGTGAATAAAATATTGTTTAAATTAAAGACTTTGTTTAAACTTTATAGCATCTTTTTAAAATCCTTCTCTAGAACCACTGTGCTAGAAAATATTTAACTATATTGAAACATCCTCAGATTGTGTAGATTCATGTTTGTTCATCACAACCCCAGGGGTAGTGTGTGGCAACAGTGGACGTTAAGAAAGTTACATAAGAATACAGAAGAAGCATCACAAAAATCTTCTCAAGGACAGCAAAACCATGGTTGGTCATAATTATAAGGTAGTATGGGGCCACAATGAAAGCTCAAACTTTTAGTAAAATATCTCAGTTGGTCCAAAAAATATGTCATCATTCTTAGTTAGCGTAGATCAATTATGTTCAAATCATACCTCTTCCTTTTAGGGATAGGTCTAACCCACTTCTGCATTTATTTTTTTCTATACTGTACTGATTTTTGCTTTTACCTAACGACAGCGCTCAGATGCGCGATGTGGCCCCTAGGTATCTTGTATATTTCGCTGTCAAATATTAACTGATTAACATTATTACAGTGACGGGGCTAAGCGTTGTGGTCCATTTTGTGTCGCCTATAATGTGATAGAGCAGTTTATCCTTGACAAGGAAATCGATATTTTTACAGCAACACGACTGATACAAATTCGTAGACCGGAATTTATTTCCACACCTGTAAGTTTCCCTTTGTTTGATAATCTTAATAATTAATTTTTTTTTATTTTAGTTGACTATAATTATTTATTTTCATTCAACTAGTAAGTGCAATCTGACTTTTCTTTGTAAAGGATATGCAAATTATGTTGTTGTTGGTTTGATGTCTATTTGAAGATGACCTTGTTGTCGACGATAATTTTGATATATTTCGATCATGAAAAAGAGCACACGGTGGGTGACCGGTCGGCAGGGGATGCTCACTCTCCGTTGTACCTGATCCCATATGTGATGTTTTAAGGGTCCATGTTTGCATTTATATTTCCATCTTTTTAAAACGACATAGCAAGATGTTACCTAAAAGCTGAGTACTTGCTGACTTGCAGTCATGCCAACGAAATCTAACTGAAGAATTGATTGACGTTATAGCAGTTAATATACAGTTTTACTTCCTATTTGGGAAGTTTTTATTCATGTAGAGTTATTGCTGTATATTGGCCAAAAATGCCGATTAAACCTTTATATGACACTCAAGGCCTTTGAGCAGTTAGAGTTCTTTATCGTGTAAAGACCTTTCGTGGCTGGAATTTTTAAAATCACACCCTGATAGGATCAATAATTACAATGTATAATTATTGTTTTGTTCCTTTATAATAATCAACATAATTGTTTGTTAATGGCGTTGATGACTTATAAATTTATTATCTTATTTTTTTAGGAGGAATACCAATTCTGTCATGATCTTGTAGCAGAATACCTACAGGCTGATACGGACTATGCCAACTTAGACTTCAAACCTTAAGAGCGAGAAGACCACATACGACATAAAGAACATCATTTTGATGAAGTTCTCTATCATATTTGAAAGATATTTGGAAAACATACACAGTTAATGAAAAAATATATTAAAAAGAATGGATCGACATGAAATATATTTCAATTTTATTGACCTCCTAGGTAAATTGTAAAAATTACTAATCTATTTATTCTATTGTATCTACATGTATCTGAGTTAACTGTTTCTTCAAATCTTTGGTTATATATTACCCTTTACCTTGTACATGTTGTCAACAGTACCTATGTTCAAATTTTATCATCTATTATTATATCCACTGCCTTTTTACTCTGAAAACATACTTTTTTGGAAAATGTCCTTAATTTACGAAGATAGTAATAAGTATTATGGACGATTTGCCTTCGATAATTAGTATGAAATAATATATTTAAGTTTGATTTTCAATTATACTTTTTTTTAGTTTCATATTCTTTAGCATTAGCACTAAAGTAGATGTGCAGATTTTTACATGTTGAAGGAATTCTTGTGTCCCAATAAATGAAGACTCGATAAATGTATGCTTTTGCCCTGTATGTCTAGGGCTTAACTTGTCTGCAAAAACAAAACTTGCCAATAACTTCCAGTTGAAATTATGGGTCATATATTTCATGCATCTAAGAATTCCTTTTTGACAAAAAATGTACAAATACATTTGACCTCTTGTAGTTTGACCAACTTTTGCAAAATTTTACTTTCATGTTGACCTAATATTTGAACAGTTGGAGATGGGGCTTTTATACATTATTAGTATATTTCTCAACATAAGATATGTTCCTCTGGTATTGATAATTTTGAAGTACATGTATTGATATTTACCTTGCATTTTAACATACTTTAAAATATGAGTTTGGTCGTATTTTGGAAATGTGTTGGGGCTTTTGAATTTCAGAGGTGTATTTGTTGTGACAGAACCAGCCAACAATCTTGACATTGGTTTTTAAGTTTGACCTACTTTAAAATCTTTAAATATGGCCAAATATTTCTACAGCTAATTTTTGGGATTTCATATTTCACACGTGTAAACCTTTTAAAAAGACTGTTTTTAACAATTTTGACACTTCCACTCTGAAATTTGACTTTCTCTTTAATAAATATATTTTGACCGTACCTTTTAACAAGGAAGTGTATGGTCTTATTAATAATTCACAAATACAATTTCTCGCTACAGTATCTTCTCCTTGGTATACCATCCATTTTGACATTAGGTTTGACTAGATTTAATATGAAAAACTTTAAACTTGGTCATAACTTTTTAAATCATTAGGGAGATTTTATTTCACAGACATTTATTTCCTAAATATTTCTTTGAGTACAATTATTATTTTATCTTATGTCGTTGAAATTTATCTTGCATTTGATAAACATTAACCTTCAGCCTTGAGCTTCCATATGGTGAAATCAGTGTTTCATTTATACAACTTAAAAATAGCTTGAAAAGCTGACTTATAAATGGGTTTTTTATCTTATGTCATACTTTTATGTAAAAAGTATTATTTTTTATATGTTTTTCCCAAAAGTGCTGAGTGCATAAAACATGGCCTTTAAAGTAACATTACCTAGCAACGGTTGAAAAGGCAAGACAATGAAAATGTATACATTTGTTATTTGGGAGAATGAACAAAATAACTATACCACGATTTTTAAAGGACAATGCAAACCTGTTTGCTCTCGGTCAGTGATGGTTTTCATAAACTTTCATTTGTTCCAGAGGAAAAATAGAATTACATTTTGTACGAAATCAATTGATTTGTTTCTTCAAATCTTTGATTATATGATATATACAAGAATCAAGAATAAGAATATATATGCAAGAATATATATACAAGAATCATATGATGGCAAAGGTGTCATCTCTCCAGGATCCTATTTTCTTTAAATTTTTGCCTTTTGAACAATCTTACTTTTCTCTTTAACCTCATAACAATGCATATCTTGTCTATGTAGGTAGGGACTGACCCAGTCACTAGGCAGGATGTGTATTGATGAGGAAAATAAGTTATTTTTGTTCTCAATTTGGTTTAGCTATTGGGTTAGCTATATCTGTATCAATTTTTTAATTTCCTAAACTTTCAAATTCATTTTTTTTATTATCAATACAATTATTGCTTTTTAATCTGACTTTATGGGTTAAACGTAGTGTTTAATTTAATTACTTTTCATATGATGTTAATTTATTTATTTTATTTTATAATATCTACTTTATTTTGATTTTTGTTCCTCTTAATGCAATCATTTTGCTTTTCAAGTTTGTTTTTTTTTTTCTCTCATTTATTCTTAAAAATGATAAATTCTTAAAATTAGTTACTGTATAATTCTTAAAAATTTGTTTTATCTGCCATATGTATGTGTATATATGTACTTGTGTTTCTGCATGGTAATTAACCGTGATAGTCGGTTTAAGAGCTCTACAGAGCTCATGTTTCTTGTTATAAAATGTATAAAATGCCGACTTTAAATAGAATTTACTTACTTACTTACATAATAAATTTTACTCCATTTCATGTAATATGTATTTTATTTATTTTTTGCAACTTGTCAGAATTTCGCGTTTCATTGTCAGATCTTTAATGTTGACTTGTCAGACACAAATATCGACTTCACAAAAATTTGTTGTCAACTCCTGGCCTTAACTCGGCATGAAAATATTTTCATCTATTTTTAACACGTGAATATGTGACAAGGGTTGATTGTACGTATATTGTTTAACGTCCTTCTCGAGATGGAGTCCCCACCATTTGCCGGTGGAGAGCTGCAAATTATGTCCTATACTCGGCACTCAGGGCCGTTGAGCAGGGATGGATCTTTTTCGTGCCAGCACTGTTACAACGCACTTTGAAAAATTACGCACTTTGAAAATTTTTTTCAAAGTGCGTTAAATTTGGGACTATAACGCACTTTGAAAAAATTAAATTTTTTTCAAAGTGCGTTGATATCGACCATATTGACGCACTTTGAAAAAAAATGTAGATTGATCAATATTCTTACAAATAATCGGTTGATAAATAATAGATCCTGGATGGATAACTTTTTTATGATGAGGTCACTTCACGACCTGAGAAGTTGACGTTTTAAATATTTGAGGTTTTGATAAAATAAAAGGGAAAAGGGTCTTGAAAAAGAGTGACGATTGTTTAAGATCATTAATTCGTTCCTTTCTTTTCTTTAAATTCTAGTCTTTGATAAGTATATGTAAAGGTGTAAAGGGGGCACTAACAGTGGACAGCTTAAAGCAACTTAGCATTTATCATAATAAAAAGGGGGCAATTTGATTGTTCAAAACTATGAAAATTCTTTCTCTCTCATACGTTTTACTGTTCTTCAATATTTCTAGTTTTCATCTGTTTTAATTAACTCATTTAATATTGAAAGTTTTCAACGTCATACCAGTTAGGTAAATACATAATTATATAGATGTTTTGAGTATAGCATAGACATCGAGACCGGGCAATGGGCCAGGGGAAGAGGGGCTTAGCCCCCCACTTATTCTGGTAAGATACCGGTATATACATCGTATAAGCATTGAAAATGCAGCTTAACCTTTTTGGGTTTATTGCTCCCCTCCCCGTTTGTTACCGACACCTATGTATTCAAAAGATAAAGATTTGGACTGAGGGATCTCATACCCGTCTTTTCCTTTTTTCGACGTGAGTTAATCAATTCATAAATTTTTTGAAAGATAAATAACAAATAAAATCTTTCCATTACTAAAATATTATTTAATTTTTTTTTCAAAGTGCGTTAAATGTCTCCATGGTAAAATACATTGATGTAGACTCTTAACGCACTTTGAAAAACTTTTTCAAAGTGCGTTGAGTTGGTCCTAAATTTAACGCACTTTGAAAAAAATTTTCAAAGTGCGTTGATTTTGTCCCAATTTTAACGCACTTTGAAAAAGTTTTTCAAAGTGCGTAATTTTTTCAAAGTGCGTTGCCACACAGCACCTACTGCGACACGGGACCTCGATTCATCCGAAGGACACGTCCCGCAGTGGGATTCGAACCCGCGACGTAAGGATCAACTCCTTACTTCGCGACTCTAGAGCAGACGCTCTAACCCCTGCTCCACGCGGGCGACTATATGACAGATTCAAAAGGATCAGACAACTTGACATACCATATGAGCAGAATTTTTAGCAAGGATTTAATTTTGGCACAATTAGCAAGGATTTTGAGATCGTCAAAATTGATTATAGCTTAAAATTGATTGCGTTTGTTTCAAATGCTTCTTGTGTGAAATTGCATTTAAAAATCGCTAAAATTACATCTCGCCAAAAATGAAATACCAATGTTTAAGAAAAACTTGCTTAAATTTCCAGTTATAATCAAGGCAAAAATCAGACTCCTTTGCCTACCTTTGTATTTCCCAGCTTTAAGCATTAATGCTGTATAAACACAACTATTAATGGAAGGAGAAAACATCTTCTACTTGTCAAAACCATTGCAAAAATTTGCTACATAAACAAGAAATGTTGGTGAAAAAGCTTTTCATGAACAAAAGACAGTCATTTTAATCATTTTCATTTTTGTGAAAGAAATCTGCCAAGGCACATCTTTGTTTTAAAATAAAAATAAAGAAATTGGTTAAAATATTTGTTTCAAAATCTTTTATGTGCAAAGGGAAACAACCAGCAGTTGTGATATTAAAGGACAATGGTCCATACTTGTATGGATATAGGTATATCTTAATATATAAATTAGAAAACTAACGTTTTCATTCAGTTAAGGTAGGATATAACAAAAATTTCTAAACGTACATTTATTAAGTAAACTTTATGACTATAATTAATTTGCAAATGGAAATAAATTACAGAAACATTCGACCATCATTACATACTATCCATTTGTATTCTCTTTGATTAATACATGTGAATATATAGTGATCCGATGTTCACCTTTCTCAACTTTCAAAATTTATTTTTAATTCTATACTTGTAAATAAAAAACAAAAGAAGTAATAAGTAAATAAGTAAATTGTTTATTATAGTGAATTGTCAGCATTAAATGTAAAGTGCCTTTATAATGGTATTGTTTTGTCTCTAACCTCTTGTTATTTTTAGAACGTTATGTAAAACATTTAATACAATTAATATCCAAACACCCGGCCCATCGGACCTACATGTCACTTTTAACAAAATGTATGAAAAACATATACACAAATATTACGCATGGCGTTTTTTGTACAACATAGATTGTATGTGCATGAATGAAAGATATAAATATTTTGAGGTTTGCCTAGGAAAATTTGTTAAAAGAAAATTTACTCTCTCTTGATCTGACATAGAAAAAGTTGGGTTACATTTAATACTAGTAAATAAATCTGATCTGAAATTGGAATATTCTGTACAATTTAATAGAAAGTGGTACTCGTCTTCTACTTCATCTTTAGAACAAAAATTACATAACCTATCTTCTAATGATTCTCCTAATAATAAGTGCTAAGGCAAAATTTTTATTTTTATGAAATTATATCTTGACGTTCCAAAAAAAATAAACAAAATAAAGAAAAGAATTTAGTAAATAATTGCATATAAAATAGATACTTACATAGATGAACAACGATTCATTGATTACATGTTTTTACGTCTCATTGTATATACAACCAAACAGAAATGGGGAAAACTGGCCTAAGAAGAATTTGATTTAAATCTATCAACAAAATCTTTCAATGATCCCAAAAACCATAAATTTCTCCTAAAATCATTCATTCAAAACATTTTAAAACAATTTTTATGTTCAAGATGTTTTAGAACATACAACTTTTTCACATGCGACCAAAATTTGCTTAAGAAGAATAGAGATATATCGCTTTGAAATTCATGACTTCAAAAAAGCTTTTTCTTTTTTTTCTTTTTACTTTTATTTTGTATTTTTGTTTTTTATATCATCTTTGAAGTATACTAGTGTATATTTCTTAAAATACAAATTTGGAAATATGTTCATGTGGAAACATTTAATGTATGTGAAAATCATGCCTTAGGTGTGGCACATGTTTGGCCTGTTTTTATAGTATTGCGGTGTTTTACGTGATAGTTTCATATAATTAGAACATAAAAGTTTTAGTCGATTATCAGTTTAGCTTTCATGCCAGATTGCTAAATAGTGAAGCAATCAAACATTTATAGAAATGAAATTAGCTGAGGTTCATGAAAATGTAATCGACACCCTAAAATCGTTTGCCTTTGAAGTATTTTATGAACCAAGTCATAACCTAATTTAATGGGGGTTTTTTGCAAAATACATGTTTATCAACTTTTCTACAATCGTGTCTATATCAAAATGAATGTGACTTCACACATTTCCATTTCTATTTATTTAGGAAAAGAATTTTCAAAGCAAAGAAAATTTTACCATCGTCTTCGGTTGCAAAATGAAAAAAAAAATACAGTTATAGTTTCATTATATATTCAGGAAAACTC